TTCCTCTTCATCGGAACCTTCTTCATCGCTCCATATAGCCACATGAGCCTTGTGCTTATTCTTTGATTGACCCTTTTTCTTCAATTGTGGACAATCATATTTGACATGCCCCGGCTTTTTGCATTCATAGCAAATGATTGGGTCCTTCTCTTTTGGTTCATTTTTGAGGCCTTCGTTTCGTTTGAATTTTCTTCCTTGGTAAGGTCTCATCATTTTTCTGAACCGTTTGGCAAACAATGCCATTTCCTCGTCATCATCATCATCATTAGAATCACTCTCATCTTTTGTGGATTTGAGAGCAACTCCAATGTTTTTCTTCTTCTCCTTCTCCTTTGGTGTCTCTTCAACTTTATCAAGGTCCACCTCATCTTCAAGCATCATCTCATGAGTGAGGAGTGAACCGATAAGTTCTTCAAGAGTTAAGGACGATAGGTCCTTAGACTCGATGATTGTCGTCTTCTTTGATTGCCATGATTTTGGGAGGGAGTAGACTAACTTCCTCACAAGCTTTTCATTTGAGATGATCTCTCCATATGATTTGAGACCATTGACAATCGTTGAAAATCTATCCGTCATAGCTTTGATGTCTTCATTTGGTTTCATCCTGAAATTTTCATAGCTATGCGTTAGAATACTAATTTTTGATTTCTTTACCTCATCGGTACCTTCATGTGTGACTTGAAGCTTGTCCCATATTTCTTTGGCGGTTTTACACGATGAAACTCTTCCGTATTCATCTGGTCCAAGAGCACAAAAGATAATATGGATGGCTTTGGAGTTGAGCTGGAACATTTTTGTATCTCCTTCACTCCACAACCTTGGATGAGTGATAGGCTTAATGTATCCTTCTTCTACGGCATTCCATGCTCCCATGTCACTTGCTTGAATGAAGTACATCATTCTATTCTTCCAATAGGCGTAGTTAGCTCCATTGAAGAAATGAGGCTTGTTGACGGGCATCGAATCGAGACCGGAGTCGAAGTTTGAAGCGGAGGCCATTGATGACTTTAATAATCGATATAACTCTTCCCGAATCGACTCAAGAGGCGATAAAACCTTCAAATGAGTTAGGCTCTGATACCAATTGTTGAGTTAATCGAATGACGAAATTGGCCAAGAGGGGGTGAATTGGCAATAAAAATTTTTGTGGAAGCTTTTGCAGAAAATTGAAAGTAATTGCACAGCGATTTACAGTGGTTCGACTTTCTCAAACAAAGTCTACGTCCACTACCTTAGCTATCCACACTAAGGATTTTCCAACAAATTCACTAATTTGTTCTTTCTTTTGAGGCCAAAGAGATAACCTTACAATTCCCTCAAGAGTATACCCCAACTCTTGAGAACACTCTTTTCTCAAAGAGAAGATTACAAATTTGCAAACTTACAAGAAAACCTCACAAGGTAAGATGTTTGCACAATTCTAGAACAAAGAAAAGAACACTCAAAGATGAATACAATTGAGCACAAAAAGTGTTCTTGAAAGCAAAATGAATATTGAATGAAAATAGGCTTGAAATGCTCAAACTTGAGGTTTGATGCTTTCTCTTTGATTCTCTCTTGATTCTAGTTGCTTGATGTTTCTTGTTTTTGATCAATGGCTTCTAAGCTTGCTTAAATACACCTTGGATCACTTCTGAACGTTGGGGATAATTAGAGAAGATATTATAGCCGTTTTAGTGTGAAAACATTTAATAAAACAGCTTGGAGCGTGAGGGGAATCGGTTCCCTCTCATAGGGAATCGGTTCCCTAAGTGTAAAATTCAAATATTTCGACTGTTGTACAAGGGGGAATCGGTACCCCCTTGGGGGGAATCGGTTCCCTCCGAGCATTCTGGAAATCTCGGAGCCAAACCATTCAGGGGGGAATCGGTTCCTCCTATGGGGGGGAATCGGTTCCCTCAGAGCAATCTGTAATTTTTGGCTTTGAATTGGTTCGAAATACTTTGTAAAATTATTTTGAAATTGTTTTATGATTAAAACTTAATTTTACACTTAAGTAAGGATTAAAAATGATTTTTGAAATATTTGGAGTAATGTTTTGATATTCGAATAGTTATATCGAATATACTTAGAAAATCATTTGGAAAATCTTAAAATCCATTTAACTTAATTTGTTATATCGAAATATTAAAATGTTTCAACACATTTCTTTTTCTTTCTCTCGTCTCTCTTTGTAAAGGGGGGAAATGTGTTTCATCCTTCCTTGTTTGCATGATATCTGCTCAGTTTGCCTTTCTTTGTTCCGCGTATAGAAGCTCATGTTATTCAGTGTTAAATGTAGGAAACTTGACCAATGGATTGAGGGAGAAGAAATAAAATTGCTCTAATGATATTCTGTCCCGCTGAAGAACACTAAAGAGCAGATGAACTTAAGTTCCTTTATCTGCCTTTTTCTATTGTAATGTTAAACCATGAACACCTGAAATGTTGCACATTTGACAACACTCGCAAATGTTTACATTGCTCGACTGGTGTGTATTCGAGATTTGTTGATTTACAGTTCCTTTTGACATTTATTTGCTTAGTGTCTCCGGATCATGAAGGGTATGAATTAATTTTAATAAATCTGAGTTTGAGTGGCCAAGTCCATATTCTCCTTCACTCCTTTTTTTGCCATGCTCTTCATAATGTTTCCATCTTCAATCATCTGTTTTACCAGAATCTTTGGACTCGCTTTCCTGCATTTCATCACACCTTCGGTTGCCTGAAAAAAAATAAGCATATGATTTTCCAAACCGACTAATGAATCATTGGATTACAAGCCACTAGCTTCCATGTAAAACAGCTTATCAAGTAGATCAATCGGTCAAATTTATTTGCGTTAGGTTAGGTTGATAATAATAGCTCTACGAATACTGAAAATGGTGGTGGTCGCTGCCATTGCCAAGGGATTTCAAGTAATAATAAAAACAAAACGAAATGGGGGCGGGGATTGTTGGAGGCGATCTGAGTGATTAATAGGATGATATTTCTTCGTTTGACAACTTGAAAGTTAATGACAGGTAGGCATTGATACTGCATAAGATGCACAGCCACAGCTAACACGTCTTCTTCAATTAATTTTGGTGTGGTTTTAAAACAAAGACAAACATACCAATACCAACAAATGGAGTTGTATCCCATTTATGTCCGCCAATGCTGCTGTGGTGCCCCAGCACACCAATTCATTGATGCTAAACAAATAAATAATCGAATCTCACTTGTTGACCATTATTATAACTTACATTATAAAATAGAATGCTTAATTAATGTTGTCCTCTCCTCTTCCTTTGCCAACTCATTACTTTTAAGCTGGGTGGGAAAGAAAGACATACACAGGTACCACTACAACTAACAAAGCGATCTAAATTCTGCTAATCAAGTCATACCAGTACAGAAACAGACTTCTTTATTTGGCTTTGGTAACTTCATAAAGAAACAGAAACAAAAAAGAAAATGATCCACTGTAATCCCCCCACCTCCTGTTGGACATCTACATAGTTAAAACCTACACCTTACTCTGCATCTGCATTAACATCACCACATGCACTAATGATGGCGGATTGTCTTCCATTTGACACAAGTTCTGTAAGCACATAATTGATTGATGTGGTTCTATGGAAGAGATATCACAAGCTACCATTGTCTACACATCAAACCCCCATAACCAAAAAGAAAAAAACACATACTAGTAATCCTTCTCTTGTTTGTTTCCATCACCTATGATACTATAAAGATGATATCTGCGGTACTATTTGTATTTGTGTCAATGACTTTTAGACAATTCTTCGAAGATATGCAGCAGAGAAACATAACAAGGTGGGAATACCAATATCTTCTTGTTCAACTATATACGATAGAAGGCCAAATGTGGCAAGAAAAACGACTGAAATTTCTGAACCTGCAAAGACATGCTTGCCCGCAATATCCAAGATGCAATTTTAAGTACAAGATGCAAATATTTCGGCTAATACGTGTTGCATTAATGGCTATCCAGCAAGGTGAATATCTACCCTAGTCCATGCATGATAGTTATCTGTTTAAAAATACTCTCTTTTGTCTTCCAAAGTACTTCATCTCTTGTTTCATCAAGACTCGAGAGCAGTATTGGACCTACATTCTGGTGAGCAGTGATGTGACAAAATAGTTACCTATTTGAAGATTCTCTCTTTTCTTCCAAGTATTTCCATCTCTTCTTCATCGAGACTAAAGAGATGTAAATAGAGCATTGGACTTACATGCCAGTGAGCAAGACCTTTTAATGTGATAAAACTATAATCAAGGTGGAAGATAGAGATTATTGGCTAAGTTTGAGGGCATAAGTAGAATGCATTGCTCAACAATTCTACACTTTCCAACTTGATGGAGTCCATCAGAAAATTATATTTGGAAATGAAATCTACAAACAAAATTTGCATTCAAGATAAGCTGATTTCAGAGATGATAAATGTTAATTGTTTATATCAAACCAGAAAGATTTCCTACAAGCACTTCAAGAAACAACATTTGAGGGGAGTAGTACCTTACAAAACTAAAGGCAATCGACTCTAATGACAATGTTTTGGAGTTACCAAAAGATTTAGAGATTAGTATAATGTTTAAGGTAGTCTTACTACTTATCATGGTCATAATGATGTCACAACAATGCAAAAGGGAGATTGTTAACCTTCTCAAGACTACCATTATAGTATGAAAGAACAAATATTTGTCTCTAGCTCATCTACCTTAAGCAAGAAAAAATATATTTTAACTTGGAATAAAGTTCTCAGTAGCACAGCTAACCTAAACTTATAGCCGGAGTCTATGACAAATAAAGATTTTGCCGTTGGAACCGATATGAAAAACATAAAATTTTAACTCTCAAGCCACACATGTCCAAGCCTAACATTTGCTTCAAACCAAAGATAGTTAGAGTAAAGCTTTAACATCAGCTTGCTTTGATCACAAAGCAATCTTCACCCTACATTCTCACAGAAACAGACAACAAAAGTAAATCCAAAAAGAAAAAACAAGGGACTCCAAGGAGAAAAGAAGGGTTTTCATTCCTTACGAATGAGACAACTATAATTCAAGACATAGAATAGAATCATTTCGGCTAAATGCACACCACAATGAATCATGAAATTTATGAAAAAGAATCCTATTTTACCCACGCTACAACCGAGATGCTACCATGAACAAACCACCAGAAAAGAAGAAAAAAATAGGTGTGAGGCTGTGTGCAGAAGAATAATTTACTGAAACTACACAGAGAGAAAGGGTTAAGGCACATATTCATTCTCAAGAGTCGGTTGAGTCCGAGTAAACGTTGCCGATGGCGCCTTCGTATCACCAACGGATGTCATGTGTAGTGCTTCTCCCACATCGGCAGCCTTTTCCATCTCTTGCATTTTCTTTCTCTGCTTGCATTTGCGTGCCCAAAGTACCAAGAATCCCAAGAATGCCAGCAATGCCACTCCGCCCACAACAGAACCAACAATTATCCATGTTCTCCTATTGTTACTCTCCTTTCCTCCTCTCGCCGGTGACGGAATAGGCGGCGAAATCGTCTCGGCGACAATTGAAAAATGTCCCTGCTGGATGGTGGAACACTCATTGGGAGCTGTCAAGTTGCTGAATTTGACCAAACCATGTAAATCAAACCAAACGCATTTGGGAACTGACCCACCTGGAGCTGATTCCGCATCTGAGAAATTGATCTTGATAGGATCCCCAAATGCTCTTAAATCCAATTCCGGCAAATTCTTAGCCGACAAGTCAGAAGCATCGTAAGCAATAAGACCCAAAACAGGAGCGAGGTAGGTGTAGTTGGGCATCGAATAGTATCGCAAAGACCAATTACCCAAGTTCTGATAAACCAAAACGAGGTGTTCGACATAAGATCGCTCTACAACTCCAATGGGGATCTCGAACTCTTTGTACATCTTCACACCTCTGGTCCGCAAGCTCCCACTCCGAAGCCTCATTGCTGCAATCTGAATCCCGGTTAAATTAGAAGGAACAACGGCATCGTAGGGCACTCCTGTTTTAGGGCGTACAAAGGCCCTGTAAGCGTAGTTTTGGAGAAGAGCATCGAGGGCTCTAGCAGCAGCGCTCGTTGAAGATGCATTACTGGCGGAAGACTGAGCCAGTAGAGCTGGAAACAAGAAGAATAAGCAGAGAACCGGAACAAGCATGGCGTTGAAATTCATTCACAAGCAAGTGGTTAGGCATTGAAGCAAATGAATGGGTATGAGCTTCTGAGGGAAGCAGAGATCCACAGTTGAAAAAGGAGAGAAAAGGGTAACTTAGGATTCCTTTTTTGTAAACGTTATGCTTGAACTTGTAGAAGCTATGAAGCAAGAAAGAAAAACAAAAAAAGAAGGAAAAATACTGGGAATGGAAGGGATAGTAGCAGTATCAGTATTAGTACCAGCAAGAATCCTAGGAATGGAAGGGATAGTAGCAGTATCAGTATTGGTACCAGCAAGAATCCTTGGAATTGATTGAAATATAAAACCAAATCTAAATCATAAATATGGGAAATTGAAGGAGGAAACACAGAGATTTACCCACAAAATTTTCCAAAAAAGAAGAAGAAGAAGGCTCTACTGCCTGTTTATATAAATTCAATGCACAGTCACGGACAGGAGAGGAGAGCAAAGGCCAAAGAGAAGAGAAAGGGTTTGTTTTGTTTAATATATATGGATTTTTATTTATTATTTACAGGTTGTATAAAGTAGTAGTTGTATGCATGTAGTAAAAATAAAAATCCCCAGTGTCCACATGCTTTTTTCTGGGTTTTTTGGTTAGTGCTTGCACATTATTTGCTTTCTTCTTCTTCCTTGTCCCTCTCTAACTTTCCCCATTACTGATAGCAAACAATGGAAGAAAGAAACTACACACTTTGAATTTGTCTCAATCTGGGTGGGATCCTTTGGTGTGTGAAATATAAATGCAAACGTAAACTCATTGTGTCAACCTAATCGTCTTTCACTCTCAATCTATTTCTTTCTTTAATAAAGTTTTCAACTTTGTGTTTTATTTGTAGTTTCAAAATCAATAGAGGATTAAGTCTCCCCTTTGACTCAACTGCCCTCCTTGGGATTTTAGTCTCCGTAGTGTTTTGAGATGTAAAAAAATATACTTGAATAATTTTATCATTTTATTCACAAATTTTCCTTTTTAAATATATATCTTTAAACCTATTACACAATCTTAATAACTAAAATGAGTATTGACCTTCTTAAAAATTCAGAATTTGAACAATTTTAAGATATGGGTTGTCAATGATTTAGAAAATTTGAACTGATACTATATTATAATCCCCGTGTATATTATTAAATATATATAAATATATCTTTTTACTTTACACCGTAATATTTCTTTCGTTCTTTTTTATTAAATTATTATTTTTATCTTATTTATTTATTTTTAAAAAATACCAGTGTCTAATAAAAACATATCGCATGTTATATTTTTATTAATCTTTTTTTTTTATTTTAAGGTGAATTAAGACGATAGTGATAGTTTTAAAAAAGTAAAAAAAAAATATAATGTAAAATGGTAATATATATATATATTAAAAAATCAAAAATTAATTAAAAATTTTACAATTTTATGAAGTTGATAAAGAGGAACAGAAGGTAGAAGTCAAAACATTGAGATACGAACTCTGTTTTGAAAATTGAATCGGATCGATCGGTTTAATCGGGAATCGTTGTTTAGTTTGATTCAATCTAAACCAGTTGAACCGTTATTAGTGAACCGGCCAGAATCGTTGAACCGTTCGAACCGGACCGGTTGAAAACCGGAAAAAACCGGAAAAACCGGGATTTTTGTTTTTAAAAAAAAATTAAACCAAACAACGTCGTTTGTCAAACGAGCCAAGTCGAACTCGACTCGAACTTGAAAACTTTAAAAGTAAGCTCAACTCAACTCAAACTCACAAGCTAAAAATTTTCAAGTTCAACTCAAACTCGAAATATAATATTGAAACTTGAACTCAAAAAGGCTTGAACTCAAAAAAAATTTAGAAGCTCGATTGAAGCCTAAAATTCGAGCTTAATTGAAGTGAAATAATAGTTCACTCAATGCTCACCAAAAGGCTCCATGATTTTGAATGCTAAATTACCTTTATTATTTATAGAAGTTAGTTGTGATGCTCTTCTATGTTTCTTAGCAATGTGAGATTGTTTTGTTCTCGTATTTTTACTCTTTAGACTTTTGGAATGATTTTCTATGTTTCTTAGCCATGTGAGATTGTTTTTAAAAAAAAATTAAACCAAACAATATCATTTTGTTATGATTTTTTAAACCCCAAATTTATTTTTTAATTATAGTTATATAATTATATTTATTATTTAATATGTTTTACCTTAAATATTATGTTGTAGTTAATTTGAATCATTTTGTTTCACTTGATTTTATGGTTTTTAACTTATATATGTTATGACTTGCTTTGAATATGACTTGTAATATAAAAAATTATTTTTTATTAAATATTTTTGGTATTTTTATTTAATTTTTTAAATAATTATGACGTCGTCCGGTTCTTCAGACCGGTATGACCGGTTCGACCGGTTGAACCAGTGAACCTGTAGCATGACTGGTTCGCTAACCAGTCCGGTTCTGAAAACCATGGATACGAAGATAGTTTTGTCTTGTTGGAAAATTATTATATGAAGAGGATGTTTAAGTAACTGAATCTATCAAGTGGTTTTAGTGATTAAAGAAAAAAAAAATTTCTTAAGATCTTGAGTTAAAATAGTTATGTATATAGGGTATATATATTGTTAATAATAAAAGAATTTTTAAATATATATTACTTTATAATCACCTAAATATAAGACTATGATTATCAAAGACCTAACTTTTTGTATAGATTCAATCATTCAAGTTTAAGAAGGGTACGAATCATCATCCTTAGATTACGAGCTTCATACAGACTAGTTTCACATTAAATGTTATATATTAACTTAAATTATAATTAAAAGTTAAGTTAATTTTATTATAATTCTACGAGTTGAAAGTTACTTGAGAATAAACATAAATATAAAATATTTTCATGGCAAACCGCATTTATATAATGAGTTATTATATGTTTGTATATTGAAACAATTTTCCTGAATATTACAATAATCATAAAATATTTATTTTAAAAAGACTAATTATATTGTACATATGCTTAAGAATTTACAAAGATTATATTCTACATATACGTAAGAAATTACAAACATATATTATACATATACATAAGAAATTATAAGTCATTAAGAAAACATAATAAAATCAACTTTAAGATTTTCGACCCTAATTTTCCTTCTTTTTACTTGTGTTGTCGTTAGTATTTTTTTTCTTCATCTTTATACCGGTGTCGATATTAGTGTTAGTGTTGATTGTCGATTACTATTTTTCATTATTATTTTTATTTTATTATGTTGTGTCTTTATTTTTTTTCTTTTCTTTCTTTATTTTTCATAATTTTATCTTTATGATACATTTTCCTTTACCTTTATGGCATATTTCCTCTATTTTTGGACTATTTTTGGTCATTAGGTCGTTATTTCTATTTATCTTTTTTCTTAGAACTGGATTGGGCATTGTCATGACTGATCAATGTGACATTTATTTATTATCATGTAGTTATTCCATGTTTTGGACTGTCGCATTGGATATAGATACGCGGTTTGCATATGATTTTATGTTAAATGGGACAAATTTTTAAATTTTCAAGGAGATAATAACTTATAAAATTCTATGAGCGAAAATAAATTATCAATAAAAAATTACAAAAAAAACTATCTAAAATATATAATAATTTAAATTTTTAAGATAACGAAACATTCACTCTTTGATCCATCCCTATTTCAACATATTCAAAATTATAAATTTAAAAATACAGCATAATAATAATATTAATGAAATTAAACCTTAAACTCATCAAATAAATTGCAAGTCGTGTAGTAAATGTAACAAACATCGGCAGTCCATGAACGTGACTGATTCATGAAATGATTCATTTTGCTGGTGGCCCACCACATGCTAAAGTGTGCGTGTGCACATGCCATAACCCTAAACCTTATTATAGTCTCATGTTTATATTTAATACTTGTATTTATTTTAAACAAATAAAAAAACTAATATATTTTAGAAATAATGCATTACATTTGGCCAGGTAGGAACGTTATATAAACTAAAATATGATTATTTTATAAAAAAAAGAGATTCGTATAGTTTTTGTTTTGTTCATTAGATCGAGAGTCGTAATATGGGGAATTATACACTAACTTTTGGACACTATCAAGTGTGGGGTGTGTAATTATGCTGCTGCCTTTACTTAATGACTGCCTTTTTCTTTGCTCAGATTCCTTGTTGGTAAGGTTGTTACCTATTTTCTATATAAGGTGGCTTCAAGCCTTGAGTGAAGCCATTGTATTGTAATGTATATAACTCAAGGGAAAAATACACAAATGGTTCTCTGACTATATGTCGTTACTTTGTTGAGTCATCACCGACTATTAAAAGTTATAAAATAATCATACAATTATAAGATGTTGTTTCATTGAGTCCATTGATGACAATTTATGTATTTTAGGCCTAACTCAATAACAAAAAAAAAAGGATTAGATAGAAAAGAAACAGGCGGGGGGTGGGGGTCCTGTATCGGGTGGTTAGAAAGCACCAGGCTCCTGATGCGTTGGCATCGTCAATAAAATTTCCCGCTTTGTTTCTTTCTCACCATAACAATACATTCACAGTCGCTGCAATTGCAATCCTTGCCTCCATTTCTTTTAGGGTAAATTACATATTAGTACATAAACTATTATTTTTATTCTGTTTTTGGTATTTATATTTTTTTTTAAATGTAAATTTAATGTTTAGTTTAGGTTTCATTGTTGTCTATAGTTGTTAAAAACTTAATGATATATTGACGTGTCACCATAAGGTAATGCCACAACATCATTGAGAAAAAAATATATCACGTCAGCAGTTTTATTAAATTTTTAATGATAGATACTAAATTAAAACATAAATTAAATGTTAGATATTGTTTTGAAGAAAAATGTAGATATCAAAATGAAATAATACCGAAATTTATAGTTTACCCTTTCTTTTATAATCCTCCACTTGAGAGAGTCATTTTCAAGAGGGGTTTGGGGTAAAATCAATTTTCTCAACACATAAGATATTTTTCTTATTCTTGAACCAATGTTTAAATATCTTGTAGTCGTTAGTGTTTGAACTCGAGATCTCTAAGGATCAGGGACGGAGCTCCCTTAGGGCCCAAGGGGCCCTACCACTTGTTAAAATTTATATATTCGATATAATTTTGGTTTAATAATATTTTGGTTCATGTAAAATAAATAT